CACTCACCTCAGCCTCCCAAAGGCGCGAGATTATAGGCTGAGCCACCGAGCCCGGCAAAATGCCTGTTTTATGTCAGTTGTTAAAGTTATCTACAATCCCATGCCAGAGACCATGTCCTACATTTTATTTCCCATAGAACCAAAACAAAGAAAGCACCAAATAATTACTTGCCAATTACAACTAATGGCTAATTTGAAGCTACAAAATTATAAGAACACACATGTATCAGGCTAAGATGATCACTATTAAGTCATGTAAAGTGATACCATAAAATAGTAAAAATGCAATAATGTAGCAAAAAATATATTTCTAAATAGTCAAACTAATTCTCACTTATTTTCAGGAGAAAAGTCAAGTTAAAAATACTTTGAGCTGGGCTTGGTGGCTCAGCCTGTAATCCTGCGCTTTGGGAGGCTGAGGTGAGTGGATTGCCTGAGCCCGCAGGTTCAAGATCCGCCTGGGCAACTTGCCAAGCCCTCATCTCTACAATAAAATTTTTTAAAAATAAACGGGCGTGGTAGTGCGCGCCTGTAGTTCCAGCAACTTGGAAGGCTAAGGTGGAAGGATCGCCGGAGCCCAGCTGGTCGAAGCTGCGGTGGCTGGGAGCGGCCACTGTACTCCAGTCTGGGCAACAGAGTGAGACTCCAACTCAAAAAAAAAAAAAATGCTTCGTCTACTTGATTTGCCATCCCAGATTATGTTGGAAAAATGAAAGCCTATTTTCACTAACTTAAAAAAAAAAGTGACTAAAAAAGAAAATCCTACCTAGAACTTGGGACAAATAATTACTCTTTTCACATTTAAGATGATATACACATTATGTAGAAACCCCAGAGTTATTACAATATAGAATAACCATCACTGAACAAAGTTTCAGGATCTTATTACTTGCAAAATATTACCTTTAATCTTTGCATTTAAGAATGTTTCTTTGGCTGGGCACAGTGAATCACACCTGTAATCCCAGCAATTTGGGAGGCAGAGACGAGAGGATTGCCTGAGCCCAGGGGTTCAAGACCAGCCTGGGCAACTTGGTGAGACCTCGTCTCTACAATTAAAATAAAAAAATCAGTCTGGCGTGGTGGCATGAGCCTGTAGTCACAATTACTTGGAAAGCTGAGGCGGAAGAATCGCCTGAGCCCAGAAGGTCGAGGCTACAGTGGTCATGCCACTACACTCCGTCTGGGTGACAGAGTAAGACTCCAACTCAAAAAAAAAAAGTTTCCAAGATAATCTTTAGTCAAAAAATACTTCAAAAAGGAGAATTGACTTACCCATATGCTCTATTGTCAGGCAGGCTGCTATGAGCTCTTACTCCTGGCGGTATGACTCGGACTTCATTGATATAAACCACACATGGAAAACGAACCACATCTATATGAGAACTTTGCTTTAAAAAAAAAAAGTGAGGGGACATACTGTAAGCAAAACAGTTTCTCCATTCAAAATGTATTCATCTTCTGTTATTTTCACTCAATTATTTATCACAAATAACTTTAAAATAAATTCCATATAATTAGGTGTTATTTACAATGTTGTATAAATCATTTTTTAAAAATAGATAATAAAATGTACTAGTTAAGTCTCCAATTTGCATACCATATTTTGCCCAGTCCAATGTGGACCCACAATCCTTTATCTGAAACCTCTGGAGCCAGATGCCTTTCAGAATCCTGACTCTCTGGATTTCTAGAACAATAAGTAATCATGACACAAACACTGCATATTACTTAAGAACCCTAGTGGTTTCTGGGGGCAGTACCTTGTTATCAAAACATTAATATTTCTGCAGTCACATACATCAACACTCACACTAAATAAAGATTATAATGACAGCATCCATTCAGATCAGACAGTAAAGCCAATGAATCCAGGACAGACATTTCTATTTTTTGCCATTTTTGAATTTCTGAATTATAGATAAGAGACTGCAGAGCTGTACCTAGATTAGCTGACTTTGATAAACTTACATACCAACTTGTATTAAGGGAAGGAATTTAGGTACTGAGTAGTTAAGATAAACCCCTACTGAAATTTTTTTAAAATTCCACAAACTAAGAGTTGATCATAATAAAAGAAACACTTTGTATTATATTAAGTATATAGTATGTATCATTGTATCTATATTTTATTTGACAAAGATTAGACAAATGTAGCTCTTATTTTCAATAATTAAAAATTATTTTCATATTGTTTTTAGAATATTTTGCATAAACTTTTGCTAACAGTTTAGTCAACTGTCATTACCTAGTGGTCAAAGTTCCTCATGACAACAATGGCTCACATTATTTGCAGCTAGAAAAACTGAGTCTCCCTTCAAGCTGCAAAGAATATCATGCATATCAGCAGACCAAAAAAATGTTCAAGTTAGTCTTCCCCGAAATGTAACAGAAGATGACTTTCTAATTTTGCATGTTAAATTTGAAGAGTGTAATTAAATGAATGGGTATAGAAATCTCAAGATGTTTACTGTTCAAATGCACAAAAAAGAATGCAAGAAAGAACTTGGAAGATTCTAGAAATTACAAGCATAGTTCACCATGGCTAGAGGGCAAAATAGCAGAGGACAATAGTGAAGAATAGCTAAGTACAACCAACAGAATTACAAAAAATAAGATTTTCACCCATAGCCAGAAGACAACTCCAAATCTGCATCTCCATCTAAGACCTCTCTGCTCAGTCCCAGACTATATCTGTGAGCCATGACACTGAAGGCATCTCTACTTCAGTGTCCCCTGGGTACCAAGCTCAACAAATCCAAACTGAGCTGCCCCCTACGATCAGTGATGGAACCACTGCCCACACAATGTCCAAGACATTGTCATCTTTGTCTTCTTATTCTCTCTCATCTAAATCATCCAACCATTCAAATACCAAGCCCTATTGATCAAACTTCTCAATAACTGTCAAATCTGTATATTTTCCTCCATTCCTACGCCACTCTTTTAGTTCTACATACTATATCCCTCTAATCTGGATTGGAGCAATAAGATCTTAACTGGTTTTGTGCTTCTTTGCTGCCTCCTTTCAGCATATTCTCCTAGTAAAGTGTGATCTTTCTGTAATATAAATGAATTACTCCCCTGATCCTTTCTGCTGCCAAGCCTAGGTCTTATAAACAAGATTAGCCGCCCCCAGAATCAGAGTCTCACTCTGTCACCCAGGCTGGAGCGCAGTGGCACACTCACGGCCACCCCAGCATCCACCTTCTTGAGCTCTGATGATCCTTCCACCTCAGCCTTCTAAGTAGCCAGAACTGCAGGCGTGCGCTACCACACCCAGCTAATTTTTTATTTATTGTAGAGACAAAGTCTCCCCAAGTTGCCCACCCTGGTCTCAAACCAACGGGCTCAGACAATCCACTTGCCTCGGCCACTGAGCTCGGCCTATCTTTATTTTTAAAGGTTATGGTAAAGCTGTTTCCTGCCTTATGCTTCTATTCTTACAATTTCTTTCTTCTCTTTCTACCCCTTCCTTTAACTACTGCATTTATTCCTACCACGTCCATTATTACTTCTGCAGATAAGTTTCAAACTGGTTTACTACAGAAACTCTAAAATAATCTCTAAAAAAAAAATGTAAAAAATTTTTAAAAAAATAAATAAAGAACTTTTTAGTATCAACCACGCCCTTAAGACTGTATTTTAGGGCAAACACCCTTGAGTCCCCTCCCACTGTGGGAGCTTCTCTTTTCTCTCAATAAATCCTGCTTTCTAAAAAATAAGACTGTATTTTATCCGGGCGCAGTTGCTCATGCCTGTAATCTCAGCACTTTGGGAGATAGAGGTGAGAGGATTGCCCGAGCTCAGGGGTTTGAGACCAGCCTGAGCAACATGGTGAGACTTCTTCTCTATAATAAATCATAAAATTAACCAGCTGTAAGTTCCAGCTACTTGGAAGGCTGAGGCAGAAGGATCGCCTGAGTCCAGCAGGTCTAGGCTGCAGTGGCTGTGAGCATGCTATTGCACTCCAACCTGGGCAACAGAGAGAGACAGACTCAAAAAAAAAAAAGAAAGAAAGAAAGAAAAGAAAAAATTGTATTTTTTTTTCCCTGAAGATAGGGTCTTGCTTTGTCATCCAGGGTGGAGTGCAGTGGTGGAATCATAGCTCACTGCAGCTTTGAACTCCTGGTTTCAAGTGATCCTCCTGCCTCAACCTCCTGAATAGCTACGACTGCAGGTACACAACACTATGCCTGACCAATTTTGTATTTTTTTGTAGTGATGGGGTTTTTCTATATGCCCAGGCTGGTCTCAAACTCCTGACCTCAAGCAATCTTCCTGCCTTGGACTCCCAAAGTGTTAAGATTGCAGGCATGAGCCACCACATCCAGCCTAATGCAAACAATTTATTACTGCCCATCTGCTAACCTGAACTTTCACTACATTTTTGTGTTATGTCTCACTTTTTCTTCCCAATTTTGCCACTTCTATGAATATATTTTTTTTTTTTTGAGTTGGCATCTCACTCTGTCGACCAAGCTGGAGTGCAGTGGCATGCTCAGGGCCCACCGCAGTCTCGACCTGCTGGACTCAGGTGATCCTTCCGCCTCAGCCTTTCAAGTAGCTGGAACCACAGTCATGTGCCACCATGCCCGGCTGAATTTTTTTATTTATTGTAGAGACAATGTCTCGCCATATTGCTCTGATTGGTCTTGAGCCCCTAAGCTCAGGAGGCTGCCTCCGCCTCCCAAAGTGCTTGGATTACAGGCGTGAGCCACCATCCCCAGCACTTCTATGACTATTACTGATCAATTAATCTACCTAATGTATTTTACTAATTGCATAATTTGCCTGCTTAAACACTACCTACTCCATACAAAATAAAGTCCATAATCCTGTGTTGAGCATTCAAAGAGCTCCCTGATCTGGCTTTGAACTACCCTTCAGGTGCCACTTAACACTGCTACTTTCAGGACAGATGATGGACTACTCCACTAGAATGACCTTCTTTCCTAACTACAACTGTGAAATATTTCCCCTTTCACCAGACCAAATTAGTATACCAAACACCTTGACAAAGTCTTTCCTGCTACTCCCAAATGAAGATATCTCTCTCTCCTCTGAAATAATGAAGGCTTTATTTATACACTCAAATATGGCTAAATAAATACCAACTGGGGCCAGGAGCAGTGGCTCAAGCCTGTAATCCCAGCACTTTGGCAGGCCAAGGTAAGAGGAATGCCTGAGCCCATGGTTTTGAGACAAGCATGGGCAATTTGGAGGGACCGAATCTCTACAATAAATCAATCAGCTAGACGTGGTGGCACATACCTGTAGTTCCAGCTACTTGGAAGGCTGAGATGGGAGGATTGCCTGAGCCCAAGCTGTGGTGGCTGTAAGTATGCCATTGCACTCTAGCCTGGGTGACAGTAAGACTCCGACTCAAAAATAAATAAATAAATAAATCCTGGGTGACAGCGAGACTGGTTCATAGATAAATAAATAAATAAATAAAATATCTAATATGTCAGAAACTGAGGGCATTTTGGAAACAAGATAAGCCCTATAAAATTCTCGCTGTGCTTCCTTACGTACTCTACTCTAACTTGAATCATAATTTTGTGTACCTAACCTCCAATACTGAATTACAAATTTCTTTTTTTTTTTGAGAAAGCAGGATTTATTGAGAGAACAGAAAAGATTTCACAGTAGGAGGAGACCCTAGGAGGTTGCCCAAGTTACAAACTTCTGAAGAATAAACACGGGCTGGGCGCAATGGCTCACACCTATAATCCCAGCACTTTAGGAGGCCAAGGTGAGAGGATTGCCTGAGCCCATGAATTGGAGACCAGCCCGAGCAACTTGGCAAGACCTCGTCTCTACAATAAATCAAAATGTTAACCGGGCATGGTAGCACACGCCTGTAGTTCCAGCTACTTGGAAGGCTGAGGCGGAAGGATTACCTGAGCTCAGCAAGTCGAGGCTGTGGTAGCTCTGAGTATGCCACTGCCTCCAGCCTGGGTGACAGAGTGAGACTCCGACTCAAATAAATAATAAATAAATAAATAATAAACACTTGAGTATTTCATATCACCCACAAACCCTTTCTTCCTCCTTTAAGATTCAGTTTGAGTATGATCTAACTAAGCTTTCCCCAATCACCCCCCAAAAGGTATTTACAACCCATCCTATTCTCTAATGGTCCTCAATTTTCCTCTGAGAATTAATAAAAGAATAGATTAAGTGTATGATAAGCGAATGAATGTCAGTTTTCCTACTAGACAGTACTAATTCCATTCATCATTTGCTTCTTTCTTTCATTGTTAACTGTTCTCTATTTTTGTACACATGATAGGTTTGTTCAGATCCAACTACTGCCTCCATTGCGAGTTTTCGAAAGCCTAGCTGGAATTATAGTCAGAGAATTATACAGTCATTAAACAAACAACGCTAACTGATCCACCTGAAATGTGAAACCATAAACTAATTCACTGTCAGAAACGCTAACCCAAAGGTCTTCAACTTTTGACTTTTACAAACTTGTAAATCATTCGTTAAATTATAATATCGAAGTTGCCAACTTTTTGTTTTGCTGAGCAAAATATTAAGATACAAACAGTACTTATCATCATCACTATCTCATGAAACAAAGGACACTGTAAACATTTTTCACTCAAATATGTATCGAGCACCTACACTGTATTAGATACTGACAAGGCAGCGGAGACAAAGTTGAGAACAAGAGACAGTGTATCTATTCTCATGGAGTTTGATACAAGAGCACATCTAAATCTTGATTTTTATAAAAAGCAGAAGGAAAGAAATAATTTCTAAAGAAAGACTAGCTCTCCGAGTTAATGAAGTTCATATTAAAACAAAGCAATGTGAGGTTCACATTTTTTTTTTCCGATTTCTCTGTGGACTTCACTGAAATAGCCGGCTTTTGGAAAGTTAACTAGCTATATTCCATTTACACCTCGCGAAACCGATCGTACGTTCAGGGCGCTCAAGCAATTTGGTACAGAAAGACCACTTCCCAACACCTCACCCTCGCCCCTCAAAACGACACGTCTGCTTTCTGGCGAGGCTGCCTTCACTCTCAACTCTCCCCTCTCCGCAAGTCTTCTCCACGGAAGCATCTCTTGTCGTCACGAGGGAAATCTTCCCATACGTAAGTATTAAAGTTTCAGGACAAACTGGAGAAAGCCGCAATCGTAAACCTCACAACTGTCACAACTGGGCAACACAACTCCCGTTAGAAAAAGGACCCAAGACGAGGGATTTAGAAACATCGTGACTCGGAAACCACGAAGCCAGCGCGAGCTGCTCGGACCCTGCACTGCTGTCAAAGGCAAGCGACCCCAGGCCCCTCCCAAACGCCACCTGAGGTAAACCTGAGGGCCAAGATCCTCCCCTCCTCAAGGCCAAAAGTAAAAAAAAAAATAAGGGAATGCAAGCAGAGCCGCCACCTCGACCAAAGACGCAGGGGGCTCAAGTTAAAGCACGGAGACGCAGGGGCTGCTGCAGCCCCCCCTCAGCCGTGGCGCCCACACCGTGGAAGGAGTGTGTGTGAAGAATGAAAAAGCAAGCGACAGAAAGGGAAGTTGAGGAAGCCGACGGGTTTTTGTAAGGGTCCCGGAGTCGAGAAACAAAGTCGGAATTAAGTCACCAAGTCTTACCTCAGCGCTAGGGTGTTTAAAAGTATCTAAAAATAGCAGCTCCATCGCCGAGTCCACCGCCATGTTTGCCGCGGGCGGGGGGCGGGGGGAGGACTTCCGGGGCAGCGCCCCCACCTCGCGACAGCGGCTCAGGAGAGGGAGAAACGGCCGCACTTCCGCTGACCAGAGAGCGAGCGCTTCCAGCCTCGGCCTATCCCGACGCGTCTTGCTGCCGGAAGTTGACGCCCGCCTTCTCCAGCGCGGCGGATGGCGCCCTCCGAACGCGGAGGGAGGCGGAGTGAAGGGAGAAGGGGCCTACGAGGTCTCCAGTGATCCAAACCTGTCATTCTACCGCGTTGCGGAGCCACCACGGCCTCGGGGTGGCGGAGTGCGGAGCCCGCTTTGGGGACGGGGGGGGAAGGGAAGGCTGCCAACTCTGAATCCGGCCATGTCCACTCTCCCTCCAGAAAGCGGCTTTGCAGCGACGGGAGCAAAATGCAGTGAGCGAGGTTGAAAAGTAAGACGTTGATTTAAAAAGATGAAAAACTATTGCCTCAACACACGTAGAGGTTATTTGTTTTGTGAAACTGTAAAATGCGAAGAGTAAAACCTAACCCATGGGGTGATTGTGAGGATTAATTGAAATAAAATGTAAGGAAATGTATAACATGAAGTACCAGGAACAATTAAAAAGGAGGTGGAATGAAAAGCCAGCCTCCCTGTCAGATGTTGATGAGCAACTGGAATCCTGCACAGCTGGCTAGATAGTCAATTGGCACAAACCCCTGGGAGCGCAACTAGGAATGAGGTGCCTATCCCCGCTTCTAGGAAAATTCTTGCCTCTGCGCTCGGATATTTAAAAGTAACTAAAAATAGATAATTGGTGCCCAAAGACATCCCTACAAATACAAGAATGTTCATCGCACACTCTACAGTTGCAAAGGGGCATAACATTTAATTGCCATTAACAGAAGTAATAGGTTCATGTTTTTATATAATAGTAGTCTAGACAGGGTAAGTTCACACCTCTGATCCCAGCACTTTTGGAGGCCGAGGCGGGAGGATGGTTTGAGGTCAGGAGTTCAAGATCAGCGTAGGCAATATACCAACAATCTGTATACACAAAAAAAAAATTTTTTTTTTTTTAATTTTGACTTAGAGTCTCACTCTGTCGCCCAGACTAGAGTGCAGTGGCCACTCCCGGCC